GGACAAGTTCTCCATATTTTCTAGGCTTTTGGGACTCCCTGAAGCTGGCGGCTGCCCCTCCTTCCTCCCTGGTGTATTGGAGATAGGTATCAGCCAAGGTAGATGCACATGTGTAGTCCCACACCACCTGTTTCCCGTCTGTCCAGGCTTGAAGTGTGACACCATCTGGAGGCTTCTGGCTTCCATCAGATCTGCATAGTTGGGGTGGCTCCCTTACTGCTGGGCATCCGGCTGTTGTGAGGCTCCTCTTGATAATGTTATTAACCTCCTCATGTCTTGCAAGCTTTCCCTCGGATTTACGGCACACAAGACCATGGTACCCGAATCGGTGTGCTGCTTCACTGCCACAAATACACCTTTGTTCGGCGAGAATAGGGGCGGCAAGTCGAAGGGCAACACCAATGCGGATGGTCTCTGGGTCGAGCCGTGTGCCAAGGCTGGAGTTGGGAACAGCCAACAGAAAGTCCCCTGCATGAGGAGCTGTCACTGCCAAGAGGAGGGCTCTATCCTTCCCTGACACACTCTGAAGCATTGTTGAGGCTATTTTCTCCACTATCGGGCCATCCCAGTGCGACTGTTAGTAGTTGTTAGGTAAGACACATATGCAACAGTTAGGTATCTTTATTATGAAACGTTTCGCCTACACAGTAGGCTTCTTCAGTCAGGTACAGAAAAGTTGATAGAAGCAGAAGATACTTGAAGACGATGTAATCAGTCCATCACCCTTAAAGTTTTGAGGTGGTCAGTCCCTCAGTCTGGAGAAGAGCATTGTTCCATAGTATGAAACATATTGTTTCATACTATGGAACAATGCTCTTCTCCAGACTGAGGGACTGACCACCTCAAAACTTTAAGGGTGATGGACTGATTACATCGTCTTCAAGTATCTTCTGCTTCTATCAACTTTTCTGTACCTGACTGAAGAAGCCTACTGTGTAGGCGAAACGTTTCATAATAAAGATACCTAACTGTTGCATATGTGTCTTACCTAACAACCTGTCGGTATTTTATACCATTTTAATGTTCAAACTGTTAGTAGTTGTTGGGGGGAGCAGATCTGGTTTCAGAGCCAGTTAGAATATCCCAGATCATGGCTCCGTCAATGAACTTCTGGTCCTGGACTCCAATCTTGTCCCTAAGATGTTCAGGGAGAATCGCTGCTACAAGCCCTCTGGATGCAATGCATGAGGACAGAAAAGCAGGTAGTGCAATCTGTGATTATATTATATATATATATATATATATATATATATATATATATATATATATATATATATATATATATATATATATATATATATATAATGTCGTGCCGAATAGGCAGAACTTGCGATCTTGGCTTAAATAGCAACGCTCATCTTGCCATATAGGACAAGAGAAAATTTGTGTATGCAATAATTTCGCCAAAATCATTCTGAACCTAACGAAAAAATTATATTTCACTATGTTTGCTTAGAATTAAATTATTGTAAACAAATCTAAAATATATTTAGTTGGGTTAGGCTAAAATAAATTGTTCTTGTTATAATAAGGTTAGGTAAGTTTTCTAAGATTCTTTTGGAGCAAAATTAAAATTTTTTACATTAACATAAATGAAAAAAATATATCTTTAAAGGTATAAGAGAAAATTTTAGAAAGGTCTTAATTTTAAATGAGTTCTTACTAATTGACCAGTTTTACATATTCGGCACGACAATATTATATATATATATATATATATATATATATATATATATATATAATATATATAATGATATAGGGAGAGAGATAGAAAAAATAGATATTCATTTCTGGACAGTCGTTTTTTTTCTTTTCGACTGCTTTTCGGCCATTTCCAAACAGTAAGCAAATATTTGGGGAACGAATATCCCTTTCCAATGTTCTTTGAGGTTGTGTGTGTGTGTGATCTCCCAAGACCAAAATCTGTTCTTATTATTCCTTTGGTATTCCTTTGGTATAAATTCTCTGTGGTATGCCGCTAGTAATCCTCTTATGTTTTCCGTCAAAAGAACCTCGGACTCGCCAGTGGAATCTTATGACAACGTTTCGGTTCGTCCTAGACAAACGACGTCATAGCTTGACTTAATAATGGTCCTGGCTGAAGCGAAACATCGTGATCATATATTTATTCTGTACATTTTTTTTATTGTTGTTTTTTTGTGAATAGTAGCAGCAACGTTTCTGTGCTTTTTTTTATTCCTCATTCTCTTGTTTTTGTTTTGTTGTTCTATTCTCTGAACTTTATCTTTCGTATTCCCTTGTTCCTTTCTTTGAGGGTTTTCCTCCTTACTCCCTTCTTCTCATCCGACCTTTATTTAACTTAATTCATTTGCCTTGTTCTTCTCTCTAAATGTAATCTATCTTTACAATAGATTCCTCTTTTCATTGATTCTATTCTCTACAAGCGAATCCTTCTTACAGAAACCTCATCTTAAACTGAATCTCTTGTGGGATCCTATTCAGCTGAGGTCAAATCAAGGTCGCCTTCCTGGAAAGTTCCCAGGTACAAAACGCTATTGGTTTGATCCGGATAGCCGTAACGGCTATTGAGTGAAGACGAGAGCAGCTTTCCTGCTTATAGATAGTAAACAACAGCGCGGCAGCTTCAATGCCGGCTGATAACGCAATTCAAAACATGTTTTTTTGGACTTTTATTACAATGATTTATCTCTTCTCCTGTTGCAGTCCCTAAATAGTTGAATACGGTATTCAGCCGGGATTTACATTTTGCCATCGAAGTGGCAAGTTTATTATGCTCACCAAATCCATCCTGTGGACGGTAGCGTAAGAGCATATGGATACACAAAAGGCCTAGGAACTAGGCCCCAAAAGGGTTAACAGTTCACTACAGTTCACTAATCTGTAAGAAGAAAATTTGGGAAACTTGTTTAATATATCTGGTATCATATTTTCATTAATAAGATATCTTGACATGTTCAATTGGTTATTATACTGTCTTTATTTTGCTCAATAACTGGACAATTAAGCACATTGTGTTCAAGATAGTGACCACTGGATTGACTACATTTGGTTTAACCATCATCTGTGTGTCTGCAAAACTGCCAGAAGTACTTAAGAACATAAGAAAGGAGGAGCACTGCAGCAGACCTGTTGGCCCATACTAGGCAGGTCCTTTACAATCAAGCTTAAGCCAGGCCACTAAAGATTAGTCAGTCTGTTCACATTGCAAGTGCTCCATAAACCTACTTATGTACTTTAATGTTATCATAGTGGGTTATAGATCTACTTAGGCTTCTAATTGCATTCCAATAACATTCAGTTCTGCAAGAAAGGTATAAAATACCGACAATATGAAAGTTTAGACACAAATCCAGATGTTGCACATGTGTCTAAACTTTCAACATTCAGTTCTATTATTTAATTCTCTCCTAATGTTATTCCTAATGCTAGACACCCGTATCTGGGTGTCTAGCATTCTTCTTCAGGATACTTTTCTTGGCAACGTATCAACTTTATCAGGAAGGAGTAATCCAATATGCAATGAAATCCATAATTGTGCATTAATTCGTGTTTCCCTGTTTTTTGAGTATATGTATTTGGCTTCTCCATTGAGCATGTTGTTAATCATATGAGTCAAGAGCCTTCATGGAATCAGTAATTACTATAGAGTCAAGCTCAGTGTCTTCAGTTGACTTAGCACCATTAAAATGACAAACAATTCAATTTGCAATGTAGACGCCCAGTTGTTAATTCTTACGCCCAACTTAAAGTTCCTCTTGTTCTTAAATAGGGAGGTGGCATCGAGAGTAGATGCAGCCCTGCCTGTAAACTCCTGCTAAGATCCATCAGTGTTTGTAACTTGTAATAAATTATTACTACTAGTTAGACGAGAAGTTTCTTCCTGAGCAGTTGCTTTTAAAAGTGATTTATGGAAGGGGTTACTAGCAATGAGCTACTTGGGAGGGGCTTGCAGGTATGTGATATTAAATGAGCACATCTTCAGCGGATAGGTGAATTGCTCTTGTTGTCTACAGTGATACAGTTCGTGCAAGTTATGAAACTTAATGTAATTGCATGTTTTCACAACCCATTTATATCCGAGTGTTTACTGATAGAGATTTAATAAGATTCACAGTGACAGTGTCTGGTTCATTTCTTTACATTCTAATACCAAGTAGTGTTAATCTCAATAATCCTATCAATGATACTAGAGACACCAGGGAAAGTTAGGATAGGTTAATTGTGAAGCGTAAGTTTTTTAAACACTTTTACCACTGGCTAACATGGCATTTTCTCTCTCGTGAAGGTATGGGGTTTCAACATATGCACTCTGTCAACATTACAACAATTCTCTCTCACAGACTTGTACCTACTCTCGGTATGCGCTTGATACACGAGAGACGTCTGTGAGGGCAAGTCTCTCCAGCCCACCTCCTGACAAAGTGTGTGTGGGGAGGGGGAGGCGCACCTCCCACAACCACCACCTGACAAGGCGGATGTCGGAGCGTGAATCTCATTTTTTTAACAATTAAACAGGTCAGGTCTTGCTCTATTTTTTCAAAATTGATGATGTTCTTGAAGGGATCTCGACCCTGCGATCAAATCTCAGTACCTTCTATTTCTCGCTAGCCGCAGTATGACACCCCGTAAGGTTTCCGCTCTTCTCTTGACGATACTAATAATAAAAATAATAATAATAATAATAATCTTGTGGCTGAGCATGCAACGCTCTAGCATCACAATGAGTATCTGTGGTTGGATCCCCGACCAGTTAGAAACATTGGGCGTGTTTCCTTAAACCTGTTGTCCTTGGTCACCTAGCATTACGCAGGTACCTGGGTGCTACCTGACTGATGTGGGGTCGCGTCCTGGGGGGGACAAGATTGAAGGACCCCATTGGATATAAGACAGCCAATCCTCGATGGCACACTGACTTTCTTGTGTTATCCTGCCTGAATAACCTTCCCCGGGGAGGGGGGTGGGTAAAAATCCGAGCAAATCTTATCTGTCTTAATGGAAGGGAAGGATAGTGTACTTACCGATCCGTACACATCGGAGGGTATGGGGCAGGCCAGCTTGGCATCCTCCCCAGGGAGAACAATAATGTGACTATTGTTGGCCACAGTGTCCACCAGGCCGCCGCCCACCGCCGCTCCGCCGCCCATCTCCACCTCCAGCTGTCCGCCGCCCACGCCGCCATCACCAGCCGCCGCCGCTAGCAGTGTCGCCACTGGAAATAGATAAAGTAATTTAAAAATAGGTCTTGTGTGTGGTGTGTGTGTGTGTACTCATCTATATGTGGTTGCAGGGGTCAATTTATAGCTCCTGGCCCCTCCTCTTCGCTGGTCGCTACTTCGGTGTGTGTTTGAAGGGGGAGTGAGGGGCTTGTGATGTGATAAAGCTCCGCAGAGAGAAACATGATGAAGCTCCACACAGAGCGAAACTTTCTGAAGCTCCACACGGAGCTCCGTCAGGTTGCTCCCAACAAGCTTATTCATCAGCCTGTGTGTATCCATTCCTATCATCCGCCGCACTCATTCTGGATCCAACTATTCCAACATAAATTACCACAGAATTACGTTACTCTAGAAATGTAACACACCACTGAATAAAATTACATTTATGCCTCTTTGAAAAGGAAATAGAGCTATTTGAAGGGAGATAAATGCTAATTTGAACGGGAAATAAATACCTTTTTGAAATAGGTAACAATTGCGATTTTGGCTTAAATAGCAACGCTCTTCTTGCCGAATAAGCAAGCGAAAATTTGTGTATGCAATAATTTCGAGAAAATCATTCTAAACCTAACGAAAAAAATATTTCATTGCATTTGTTCATTACTAAATTATTATAAACTTATATATTCATTTGGATTAGGCTAAATTAAATTGCGCTTGTTATAATAAGGTTAGGTAAGTTTTCTAAGGTTCTTTTGGTACAAAATTGTTAATTTTTACATTAACATAAATGAAAAAAATATATCTTCAAAAACAACAAAAAAAAAGGCACAATACTGTGACTGGAACGATACACAAATAACCCACACATAAAAGAGAGAAGCTTACGACGACGTTTCGGTCCGACTTGGACCATTGTCAAAGTCACAGTGTGACTTTGTCAATGGTCCAAGTCGGACCGAAACGTCGTCGTAAGCTTCTCTCTTTTATATGCGGTTATTTGTGTATATCTTAAAATGTAAAAGAGAAATGTTTCAGGAAGGATTTAATTTTAAATGAGTTCTTGCTAATTGACCAGTTTTTACCTATTCGGCACGACATTAGTATATTATATATATATATATATATATATATATATATATATATATATATATATATATATATATATATATATATATATATATATATATAATTTTTAAGATTGGATATCCTTTTTTGCCTATAATTGGCCATTTAAACTAATGAACATAATAAATTCTCAACTCCGCCTATGGAAAATGACGTTATTAGTTTATTTGAAATTTGGGTCGTCGGGCAACATTTGCAATAAATTAGGTCTGAGTTGCTCCACCGTCTCCCGGGTGGAGTTGCTCTATTGGAGGTCTTGCTTCCAGGAGTTGAAGCTATTTTCCTAGTGGATGGAAGGTGATTGAGATCCCCCAGCCCTCCACCCCCACTCCCAGTCCTACGGTTTTAGCGCCTCTTTGTTATAATGGATTTATGAAGGAATGTTTTGGGGGGTACTGGATCTACAAGCATACATGGTTCCAAGTGTACGTGGTTCCAGGTGTACTTAGTTCCAGGTGTACGTGACTCCAGGTGTACGTGGTTCCAGGTGTACGTGATTTCAGGTGTACGTGGTTCCAGGAGTACGTGGCTCCAGGTGTATGTGGCTCCAGGCGTACGTGGTTCCAGAAGTACATACCTGCGGGCGCACGTAGCTCCAGACGTGCGTACCTCCAGACGTGCGTACCTCCAGACGTACGTGCCTCCAGACGTACGTACCTCCAGACGTACGTACCTCCCTAGACACATGTACCTCAAGACACACGTACCTCAAGACACACGTACCTCAAGACACACGTACCTCAAGGTGCACGTTCCTCCAGGCGCACGTACCTCCAGGCGTACGTACCTCCAGACGTACGTACCTCAGGGCGTCTGAGGCGCACCAACAAACCTTCCTAATTGGCAATCAGACGACCAGAGCCTGCATCATTCCCTTTCAGATCTCCCCTCCCCTCCCCTCTCCCTCGCCTCTCCTCTTCCTTCACCCCTTCCCTCACCCTTCCTCTCTTACCTTGCCCTCTGCTCCCTTTCTCCCCTCCTTTCCAACTACCCTCCCCTACCCTTTTCTACTTCTTAACTCACGATGTTTCTCCCTACACGTTTTTCCCCCTTCCCCTCACATCCCTCTTCCCCTCTCACCTGAAGCCAAATCTTTCCCCCTCCCCTACCCCTCAACCTTCTTCTATTCCTCCCCTCCCTCACCTCTCACTTTTCCGTTCCTCTTTCCTTCTCTCCTTCACTTCTCAACCCTCCTCTTGCTTCCCTCTACTCTCCTTTCAATCCCTCCCTCCTCCCTTCTTTCTTCCCTCTTGTCCAATACCCCTCTTCGTTTCCCCCCCCACTTCCTCCCCTCCACCGTTTTTCCGTTCACATAATGAGTTGCCACGACTGTTATTGTGAGGTATTGTTTACCCCGCGGTCAGTGGACCATCCTTGCACCATGCTGGGTGTCCGAGCAACCCTTTACAACGCTAGGTTTCCGAGCAACCCTTTACAACGCTAGGTTTCCGAGCAACCCTTTACAACGCTAGGTTTCCGAGCAACCCTTTACAACGCTAGGTTTCCGAGCAACCCTTTACAACGCTAGGTGTCTGAGCAACCCTTTACAACGCTAGGTTTCCGAGCAACCCTTTACAAAGCTAGGTTTCCGAGCAATCTTTTACAACGCTAGGTGTCCCAACAGCCCTTTACAACGCTAGGAGTCCCAGCAACTATTCACCTCGCTAGTTAGATGCGAGATAGTAAGGACATAAGTGATAATGCTAGTATATCGCTACATATACGTGGACTAGAAGCATGAAATTGCTAATTTATTCTTATTTATTTGTGAGTTAGGTGGATGAGATTGCTATTATGTCCCAGTTACTTGTGGGTAAAGTAAATGGGAGTTGTTGCTAGTATGTGGCATGCTACATGTAAGTTGCAATTTATACGGCGTATGTCACACTCCCATATAGGCAGGACTCCCGACTAGAGAAAAAGGTGCTAAGGGTTAACGATCTAATAGGGGTTCCGTCGTTATATCAGTACCTCGGTTCATTGGCCAGCCAGAGACAAGCCCGACAAAGCTGTGAAATAATGTGGTTCACTTGTCACACGAGTTTTGGCAGACTTGTCTGGGCTACCGGACGCTGACGGTGCTCAGTATCTAGTGTCTGCATTCTGCCTTTGACCACCGTGTTGTATGTTTGCTGTTACATTATTGTACATAGTGTAAATAGTTTAAATACTGTAAATACCAGCTTGCCTCTTTGAAGGAAATACAAATCATATATGCTCTTCTGTCTTTTGCTTGTTACACTATTGGCTATCGCATTACGACAAGGTGTGCAGGCTATAAATAAACCTATGTTCGTAATACGTGTTATACATTGGTGGACTAAGTGGTTGAAATTGGTAGCATTTCTCTGGTAGTTCAATTGTAGGTAAGTGAATTTTCTACTGTTTCCATGTGAACTGTAGATTGGTAAGATCTCTAGTGTCGTTATTGCTAGAAGATGGAATTAACTGAGATTTTGCTCCTGTTTCTAGTACCTTTAGGCTAAGTGTGTGTGTGTGTGTGTGTGTGTGTGTGTGTGTGTGTGTGTGTGTGTGTGTGTGTGTGTGTTGTGTGTGTGTGTGTGCGCGCGCGCGTGTGTGTGTGACAGTAAAAGTGTGATCTTGGCAGAAGAAAAAGGACTTTAACGGGCTGTCATTCCCTCGAGGGATTAATAACCCTCGATAACTCGTAAAAAGCCAAGCAATGTGGCTTATTTTCCTTATGGACTGGAACAAGAACCATAACATTATGCTGAGTCCTAAGCTTCTGCTGCTAAGTCAGGACGGGTAGCAAGTGCTAGACTTTTCCATACTTGTAATTAATTCTACGTCTGCTTTGCATTCAAAGGAGAGCTTTCATTATAGTAAAGGACTCTTGATTGCAAGGATTGCAGCTACTTTTCGAATCAATACTCCATGCCTTCCGCTCCCCAGACCCTGTACTACTACTACTGCTATTATTATTATTATTATTTTTATTATTATTATTATTTGTATTAAAGGTTGGGAAGCATAGGCCTGTAGGAAGTGTGTATAATACCACATACAAAATAGGGTGTAGCTCCTGGTCCAAGCAGTACTTATCTGACAAATTAATTAAGGTTAGGTTAGCTTAGATTTAAGATGTGAGGTTGAGAGTTTTGTCACTGAAGCAGCTAGTGTATTATGCACCCCCATATACATCCTGTAAACCATAACGGAAGAGTATATGGATACAGAAAATGCCTAGGCACTACGCCCCAACATTTTTGATTTAAGAGTACATATATCTGCAGTTGAATAATCTCTTGCAAGCATTTTTAGAATATTTGCTTAAAATTTCTAGTGTCTTATTTTCATTGATAACATACCCTGGTATATCACACTTAATACATGCTTAATAAGTGAAGAATTAGCACATCTTGTTCAAGATAATGACCATAGGACTGACCACATATTTTGCATTTGGTTTGGTCATCTGTGTGTGCCACTCTGCCAGACATGCTTGTAACCAAGCCTAAGCCTGGCTACTACAACATTAGTCAATCTGTTTACATGGTAAGTTGCTCCATAAACGGACTTATCTACGTTCATGTTATCAGACTTTCAACTGCCTTGCTAGACATAGATGTACCAAAGTTGTATTCTGCATTTTCCTTCAGGTACTTTCTTTGGGTAACTTAGCAAATTTAACCAAGCTTTTCAAGCACTATATAAACACTGTTTCTATCGTGCAACAGCTGACGCAATGTAACGCGTGCAAAAATGTACGCCTTGTGGTAAGAAAGATGGTAGAAACAATCGGTGCCCATCAATCCTGAAATATAGACGACATTTCGCTCTGTGTAGAGTCTGAAATATTTCAGGTACATGATGGCAATGCCTGTCATCATACACAGGTTTACATTCCTTTTAAAGTCAAAGTGGCAGCATTGTCGTTACAAAACTAAACACAGTAATATATTAA